ATGGATGGGAGAGGACCTGATCCGTCATCTGTTACTTATTAAATATCTCTCCAATTCACAATTAGATGTATAAGAGATACTAGTTTGATATGGAAGAGTATTAGTTTGCAATATACCAGACAGTAGCTAGATGGTAAATGTCGTGGGATGTGGCTACTTGATGGATGAGAGAGGACCTCATCTGTCATCTGTTACTTACCAAATGTCTCACCAATTCACAATTAGATGTATAAGAGAGACAAGTTTGATATAGAAGAGTATTAGTTTGCAATATAACAGACAGTAGCTAGATGGTAAATGTCGTGGGATATGGCTACTTGATGGATGGGAGAGGAACTGATCCGTCATCTGTTACTTATTAAATATCTCTCCAATAGACAATTAGACGTAAAAGAGATACGTTTGATAAGTTTGATATAAGAGAGTGGGGGTTGAATATATACCAGACAGTAGCTAGATGGTAAATATATTTTTTTTTTATTCTTATTAAGAATTTTATAGTCCAGTTCAGCGTACAAAAACTTATGTAAACACTTTTTGCATTTTTCTCAAAAATCACAAATTCAAACTTCCATTGCAGAATAAAGGCTTACACAGATGTTTCATCTAAATGACTCTGACCATTACTATTGTAAATTTAGTAAGAATTCTGAAAAGGACAGTAAATTCTAAATAAAAACAATGTTTAGTGCACTTATGGTAAGCAAATACAAATATTTGAAAAAAAATCTAAATTTGTCTGTTATTTCTTACCTGTGAGGGTATGGTAATCAAATTTAGTGCCATTTTGTCACCAATTCTAAGTAATTTAACACATAAACATATTTGACACTAACTTCGTTTCACCCTGTATAATGCAAAATCTAGTGAGTGCACTAGACAGTAAAAACAACAATGATGTTTCTATAAGGAAAGCTTTTATTTGACTACGTCGAGAACGACTGAGAAGACTACGTTTTTTTTTGTATAACACTAACGAGAACGTTAGAACGTTCTAACACTAGAAAACGTAGCCTTCTCATATAGAGTCAAATGTTTTTTGTGTTTCTTACTGTTATTGGGCGACAGGATCGCAAGCGTCGCCGTGAATAGGCATTGTTACATCAGAGTATTCTTGCTTTACCTCTTAAACTTCGAATGTACATTTACATTTTAAATCGTTCCATGGTGATTCGCGAAATCGTTTAGAAAACACCGTTAACCTGTAAAAAATCGACTTATTGGTTTTACGGAAGTATTAAATATTCATAGTAAAATCTAGCTACAGTACATAAGGTACTACAAATTATTCAAAAATTAGCTTACCTATTCAGAAAGTAACTTTAACAGGAATCTGCATTGCGCTCTTGTTATTAACTGAATAACGCTGTGAACTGGATTGAATAACGGTTTTATAGGGTGTAAAATCTATTTATTTTATACTGTTGAAATAAATCGTGGGAAGACAAACGACTGCTCAAGCAGTTCGAGAAAAGTTTATTTCGGTGAAAAAGTAACATTGATGGACGGTCGCTTTCAAGTTCTTGTGACGTTTATTCTCTACATGTCGACTCCAATCTTAGTACATGTAGAATTATTTTATAGACAAAACAGAAGATGCCCTTTTTAGTAGGCATTATACATAATGCCTACTGAAAGTACATACATTTCAATTATTCTTATTCCATTTCATACTGTGTCTTAAATCTTTAGGCAATGTATAGAATGTCTATTTTATATAGGTATTTAACAACCTCTGAAAAACAAAGATTAACAGTGGTAACAACACAGTTTACATAATGACAATATAGAAGTTTAAAAAAACAATATAAAATCCCATGCGTTAACGTAATAAAGTAATATTATAATCATTATTTTTTACTGCAGCTAACCGGTTAATGGTAATAAGATCGTTGCCAAATTCGCCTGTGTGTGTAGATGTACTACAGTTGATATATTAGACAAGCTTAAATAAACCAAAATCTTGACTAGGTTTTTTAGTTTTATTTAAACCCCAATAACAAAATATATACATATATATAATCAATTTCAAGAACAACCAAACGAAACGAACACCAACTCATTCAACTTAACCTGCTTTTTGCAGATGACAAAACCAACTATGCTCTGTCTTAGTTTTTCAAAGAGTGATGACCTGCAATCTTATTAATTCTCACCGTTACATTCCTGGAAAACATGTATCTGTCTCGTAGTTAACCATTGTAGGCTAATAATCTAAATAAATAATTTTGGTTATATTTCAACAATTCTCTTTGAGGGAGGTTAGTACCACTCATAAATAATTTGAAGTACGTGTTTATTGATTCTGCTGAATAACTAACTCTTCTTGAGTCAAGGGGTTTGAGGAGTATTCCTCGTATAAATTAATAGATTGTAGGAAAATCGCCCAAAAGGTGTTTGCGGCCAAGAAACTAATTATGATATTTAACTAACTTTGAGGTTTTCGCTTTAATCTTTTAAACGAGATTTCCCGCTTATCCAGTGGATTGTAAACGCCTTTGACAAGATGCAAAGTCAGTCATCAACACCGGCCACTTTGAAGGTGCGGATCGATATATTTTAGAATGCTTTGGTAAATATTCATTATGTTCAATTAGTAAAAAAAACTTTGGTTGTATCTTTGAATTTTCAATGGTGGTATGTTGAAAGTTGACTCCTATTTTCAGGTTTTTATATTTGCAGCTTTTTTATACTTAAGTCTTTTGATAACAAATTTTTGAGAGTTTAGTACACCAAGTTTTTACATGGTCCAGAATATGTTACGTTAATTTGTAAAAGCTCAGTCCATAAATTGGCAGTATAAATAAATTAATTAAAACCACACTCTTAATTTTTAAAGGTATACAAATTCTAAATAAATTAAAATTTTATTTCTCACTTAGAACAAAATTGGTTTAATGTTTTCAGAAGGGTTTTAATACATTATAATAATAGGAATACTTTTATATATTTTTCTTACTAGGCGAGGACATTATGAGTATTTAATATTTGGAAAGTCTATATTAAAACTATTATTTCAACGATCGTCCAAATAATAATTGATGTTAAATTACAAGGCAATGTGGTAAAATCCAAAACAAATGTTTTTCCGGCCCATTTTTCACAGACCAAACCGAGGCGTAGATAACGTTTTGTGGAAAACATTTGTCTGCCCTAAACACTCTTTAAAGATAACCTGTGAAACATTTTCGCGGAATTCAGAATGAGAGAACTTTACCTAACCCACGTGGTCGCTTGAGTTGGAAAAAACCTTAGAATATGTTAGTGTAGGTTTCTTGTTAATTCTGAGAATAATTTAACGGTATTACTTCTATTTTACACATTTATAATTTTGGATTTCATTTAAGTCTTGCACACGTTTACATAATGTTATAAAAACGTTATAATGTTCCATCTGTATATCAGTAAAAATATATTTCATTAAAACTGTTGCACCTAAAAATGTTTGATATTTTAGCTCAAAGTGAAACACTTAAATGACACATAAATCACCTAAAGGATCACTAAAATTTAAGTAAATTCAATATTTGTGTAGGCAGAGCTTTTTTTGTTTGAAAATATCACAACAACTATAATGTCTACAAACAAACTAAACATTTATTTGTTTGGATATACAATATACAAAATGGTATGATCACGTGCATGTCATATCATAGAGATAAATTGACTGTTATTCGTGCACACCTGACCACTACTGATTTTAGCAGTTTGGTTTGAAGTTCGAGCCCTAGGAAATACCATTTAATAATGGTAGTACCTATCACTATATGGCCAAGCCATAACCCATTAGATAACACATTATTAATTTTAAATTCTTAGAGATCATATTGTATGTAAGCTATTTATTAAAATCACATAGTATTAAATATACCAACTACATAAAAACCTCTATAAAATACCCTATATAAATAACAACAGATATAAATGTCATCAGTGAAATCGCTACGTTATTATACATAAAATCATTATATATGTTTGAATTGTATTCAAATACTGTGCAAACCGTTTATATGAGACAAAAATAGTAGTGTACAGTACATACATTCATTATAGTACAAATTTAACCACACTTGGACAAATATAATGTTTGAAGTATCAAATCAAACAGTTATGCATTATATTAAAGGGGTAATAACATGATCATAATTCAACAGCTTTTAGCATTGATTATTCAAATAACTCGATGCTTTTAGTCTTAGTTTCAGCGGGGCAGACTCAGTATTGTACTACTCTATTTCTAGTGTATTGATTGAACCACTCCCTGAACTATAGAAAAGGTGAAGGAGATTCGTCGAAAATCTTGTTATTAATATTAGTTTGGCTGCTAGCGAACATTGGTCAATTTAACTCCATCAAATATCCCTAAGGTCTTTGCCACGGGTTTGTGGTAGGTCCAATAATGCAACAATACCACAACGCATTAGTTTTCTCTTGGTGAAGTGTGGTTATTCGGTTTTACCACTAAACGCTTACCTGTGTACTCTACAGCCCAGATTGTTCGTTATTTAGGAAGCTGAATGGCTGTGAAGCTAGACTATGAATAAATAAACTGGTCGATCATGAGAATTTGGCTTTTGATTTGTTCATAAGAATCAATATTTCATTTCAAGATGTAGGTATCGTCATTCTTTGTAAAAAATATAAACGGTATCAGCTACCTGACAAATAATGTCACTCATTAGCAAGTCATCAACCATTTTACGAGTATGTGGTGGAAGATTAACATAATATTTTATTGAAGAAAACCAAAAAAGCAGCAATAACTTTTGTCATGTAATGTTTACAGCATTGGGGATTGCAAATATTTTTAAAGTTAAAAGGGCCATAATATATACGATTTTATATACGATTTATTAAGTCGTGAACCTGACTGGAGACTCTTAGGACATCCGACAAAGATTATCATTAAGGAGGGGAGTACACTGTAAATTTATTGAAAGTATTGATTTAATAAAAAATGAAAGTTAACAATTTTTTTCAAATGAAATATTTTGTTTCAGATGAAGTTGAAGTAAGATGAGCAGCGTCAAAGTACCACTACTTGAGCCTGAGGCATCTCTGCCGGCCCCTGACCTATCCGTGGACCTTCTAAGGCCTCAGGCTTCCCTTCATGGTTAGTTCTCAGTACAAAGTTTTCTGATTCATATATCTAGTATTATAACTAAACAATCACGTTAGATTATATTTTTAGCTATCAGATTGCAAATTTGTCTTATACCGAGTGGGACATCTACGAAAATAGGTGTAAAATGAGAATCGGTGTTTAAACACTTTCTAACCTTATAACATGCAATTTAGGTTGTAAGTGAAACACCAACTCATCCAGCTGTTTTGGAGTATGTAACTTCGTCCCCTTTTCCCTCAGGCCTTTAATTATTAAGGGTATTGTTGTACAGCTTTTCCTGCAAAACCTTAACATACATCGTTACCCCAGGGAGATGCTATGCGTCAAACGTTTGGAGGGTTGTACCTTCATTACATGCCAAATACCCTGAGTTATTAAATGGGATTGAATAAACCATCTCAAAACTTACATACGCTTTCTACATAATGAATGTAGGCACCCCTTTTAGACTGTCATTTAAGTTATACCATATACTTTATTAACAATCACAGTCCTGAAGATCAATAAGAATATTCTTTTTTCCAAACAAATATACTTATTGATCACTCTTTCTTCATTTCCCTCTCATCATAATGATCAGCTGTTATCTATTGTACCAGATGTGGTGGTCCCGGCTGCAGTGGTCGCTGCCGCTGTGGTGGTTGTAGTCGTGGTCGTCCTGTACAAGCTGTGCAGAAGAGTCAAAGACCCTGAGACCGATTCTCTCAACCCCAGCATCGTCGTCTACCCGTCATACCAGGGATCCACGCCTCAGTTCCTGTGAGTAGAAAAGCTGTAAAAACTTTTAAATTAAATTAATATACCTGTCACATGGAACTGAATTTGAAAGCTTTCTTCTGATAATGTATTGTAGATATTTATATAATGGTGGTTTTGATCGGGACTATAAAGTATACTAATCAATAATCATGTATAGTATGATAGTTCATCACACTTGATTTTCATTGGTATTTGATGAAAGAAAACTATGAACTTAGCTTAGTTTTATGAAAAGGAATGCACCAGTAAAAACTACCGAAAACCAGTAAAACTACTGATCGTTCACTAAAAACTAGTCATGTTTTACGTTTTAATTCTTAAAATATGTCAAAATACCTGTAATACTGTCAAGATATTCTATTCTACGTTCACCTACCACTGCTTTCGTACTTTAATTCAAACAATGTTCTTGAGAATTCTCTTCGTCACTTGTGTCTTATTGTCATAACTTAAGCACACACTCAGAAATAAAATAATCTTAAAATATAAGTTGTATTTTTGTAATACTGGTTCAAAACTAATAGTAATCCAATAAATAATAGCATTTTTTGCCAAAGTCACAGGTATATTATTATATAAAAAGGGTTTTAATCTTTAGGAAAAGCACTTGACGTAGAATTGAACGTTATGCAACCAGAATTAAAGATACAAAAATGATAAGGCTATAACCAAACAACGGGTTTATACAAGTTTCTTTTAAGAAACCCCCAAATTATGAAACTTATGTAACTTACATGAAGGTGGAGCGAACGGAAATGTAAAGCGAGATATATAACAATATTTGTTTCAGTTTCTTGTGCAAACTTTGCCATTTAAAACTTTAAGAGGGGTGCAACAACTGGGTTTGTATAAAAGATATAAAAACTCAAGTGCTTTGCGACTCTCAGGACTTCCCATTCTAATTTAACACTATAATTAGATTCCTTTGATGAAAATGAACAAGTTGTTGATGCTCACTTCTTTTAAGAGTCTTAAATTTGGAAAGACATGCAGGAAGCCTTTTGTTTAGCTATTAACTTGACCTTTTTGATGGATTGATGCTGGACCCAGCTGTGCTTAATCATTGGATTTGGCTTTTAATAAACTAACTGTTACCCACGGGCTTCACCCCGTTCGACTTTATAAGTATTAATAAAACTATTGATCGGTTAAGTTATAAGCTGAATTAAACAAAACAGAATACAGTAATACAAACAAATAAGTACAGCTGAGGTATTTTTAACATTAGGTATATGGAAAGTTCCCTTTGGAAAGCAATTACTACCTTAATGGGCAATTTATGAAATAATGGATAGTGCAAAAGGTTTCTTGTCACGACGAACATTTTAAGTAAAGGCTATGTTGTACGAGGGTGTGACTTCTAGTTTTCTCAAAAGTTCATGGGTACTTTGGGTTTTATATATGGACTAGCAGAGTACCCGTCCTTCGTACGGGGGTTAAAATGCTTATTGCAGTTATACTCAAGCTTTGCATTTGCAATGGAGGAGGAGACACAGTTAGGTAAAATTTGCTTCTTTATTTACGGTAATTTATGGTATAAATCAAACATTTCATACTCTATTTTACACTCATCCTTCACGCTATCTAAATAATTGATTTATTGATTGAAATGAGTAAACAAATTATATTTGTAAAATGGATGGATGTTTCATTAGGTTAAAAATTAAGTCAATAGGTATTATGATTTTTAATGTCAAATGAGAGATCAATATCTAAACGATTTAATGTAACAAGAGCAACTTGTTTTATTTACATCTATTTCAAATTGTCGTGTATAAGCGGATAAAAAAAAATATGTATTTAACAAAATTAATAAACTAGGTCTTAGATTAAATATTTTCTGAACAAGCTATTGTTATCTTCGTGACCGAAAGAAACCTTTCCTGGGACTTTGAGAGAGTATCAAGCAATTAGCTGTATTTGACATTTTTCCACCAATGTTTGAATGATAGAAGTCCTATTAGACGAATTTATTCTTATGGTTTTACAAACATCTATCATTAGGATTAATATTAGTATTTCACTAGTAAATTATTTTAGCTGATCATCCATAACATATGCTAAAGTGCCTTGGTCTAAGGTGCCTTGTGAGTGATTTTGAGCAGTAGATTCACAAAAAAAATTTGTTATTAATATCATATGATTTTTCCCTCTCATATTATCAACAATGATATGATATTTATAACTTTAACGTTAATATTTATAACTTTTCACTGCATATAAACAAGAGTTCATTCCAAAAACATGATTCAGTTCTAATTATACGTTCCTGAACGAACCCTGTTGTTCCGTTTGTGTCATAAAATATTCAATAGCAATTACAAACTTCCTGTGGAACTTTAAATTATCATTTGGAAGCAAATACATTTTAGTTTTTTCATACCATCCTGTCATTTTTGGTCTGAAAGAAATTTATAGAGATTGTATTAAAATCTTTCAACCAATAACATTGCTTATGAATAAATCATAATTTTTCGAGAATATTTTATGCTAAAGGCCAAGTAGTAAGTCTACAGAGATACAAACGCACACAGAGACAATATAATTCTAAACAGTACAGTTATAAAGCGTACAACTATAAACAATACACCTACATATGTTAAGGGTTTTCCATTTTACAGTAATGGGGTTGTGGTCAAAAGTCTACTTCCATTTACGAATTCTTACCTTGCCACAGCCCTAGGCCACAGTACCTGTCAACAATTATTTCTTTCTAATATGATTAACATCAAGGCAAAAACTGTATTTTGCCGCACCGTTAATTTTATAATGTCAGATATCATACACATCAACTGTATCCTATCCCAGTAATAATAATGGTGTTGTCATCCAGAGTACAAAGATTTAAACATACTGTAATTTTAACCTCATACATTTAACAATTTTGTTAATTTTATTTGGTTGTATCTAACTTAAAAGCAGCTGATCATTACGTCATTGCCGTCACATACGATGATTTCTCTGCCGTCGCCTACAATGACGTCATGCTAGAGGAGCATTACGGCATGTTTATTTACTGTTTCCTTGTTACAATTCACCCTTTTATTGAACCGGCTCATCCTTGCTTTGCTGGATACGTTCCATGCACAGTCCTCGGTGACCTATGTTAAAGGGCAAATGCAAGGTAAAAAAGCCACCAACGGCCAACCTCTTAGAAAATAATATGTCTTTTGGAACTATAAAATACTTGATATAGGTTATTACGTAATTTAATTAAGGTAGTCTAAGGTTTTAAAATCAGTTTTCTTCGACAGAAACAAAGACATAGAGTTCGCCTTGCCGCAGCTGCGACATTCTGAGTCGTTGGATGAACTTCTGCGAGAACCAGCCAACAGTGAAGATAGCGAGGGGGAACCTCCTCCACTGCTGGTGCCCAGGGCTACTGGACAGCGGTCAAACTCTTTCAGTAAGCATCAACTGACACATAATTACACATAGTTAGGAAAAAGTGAAATATCACTGTAAACACCCTTTGGATATTTCTAGCATGAATGTTTTTTCTTTGGAATTGCCTTTAACATTTACATCTTCAATCGTTACACTTCCAACAAAGGAATAGATCAGCAGGGTAAAGGGAATAACTATCATCATAGCCCACTCTACTACAAGGCCACGACGAGGCAAAAGTGGCAACGCCGCACGCCCGGCCAACTGAAACAGCTGTTGCACTATCTCATAATGGAGCGTCTGCGCAATGCTATGTGTTTTCACACGTTTGTTAGTTCGTGTTAGTTAGTTTGTTTGTTTATGTGGGGAGAAGATAAACATCTATTTACTCACACTGAGGTGCTCAATGTCCTCTCAGTAGTGCCGGACTCCCGCGGGCTCAATGTCCCCGGACTGTTATTACCATGGTAATGGGGCAGGTGCGATTTTGCTACACACCAACAGGAGCCCATACTCTCCAAATACTCTCCTCTTCCACTCTACAGTACTGCAAGGTGTTTAAAAAATAATTTCTATGCATCAAGGCAATTTAAATTTTGTTTAATGGTAACAATTTCTAAGACTATGATACTGAAAATATACTTGTTATCTTGAGTTTGAATCATTAGCATTCCGGAACAACTTGATTTTCCGGCCCTTTTACTATCTTTTTTACTTGATTTTCCTGCCTTAGTATACTATTTTAAATCATAAAGACAAGATTACAGAAAGAGTTACAAAGTTTGTTTTTACATTTAGTATTGAGCGCGACACTATTGTGTACACTGGTATTATATTTGCGTTCACTGGATCCTCCAAAAATATTTTCCAAATGTATGTCAGTTGACTTGAGCTTGGAAGAAAAAAAGACTTTTAGAAAAGAAATCTAACATTTGAACACAACTTACGTTAGTTACTTCTAAACAATTTTCAATAACCACTGTAGTTGTATATCTACTCCATAGTCGTCGTAACCTTCCTCTGTCTGTTAGGCAGCTACGGACTAGGGATGATAGACCCGGCGTTGTACCAGGGAACTCTCAACTTCGAGGAGGACCTGGACTACCCCGAGGGACACCTTGGGAGAGTGTGGTTCTCCTTGAGGTATGACGCGGGGTCAGAGAAGTTGCTGGTGTCTCTGCTCAAAGTAAAAAACCTCCCCAGCCGCACAGTGGGTACCGCCAACAACTGCGACCCTGTAGTCAGGTAAGTCGTAGACATGCTAAAAATCAAAATAATTTAAAAATATTATTGCAAAGAAGTATACTACTTTCACAAAATTTAGGTTTTTTGGGGGTAAGAGATTCCATCCCCTCTACAACACCTTAACGTGGAAACAACAGCCTACTGCTTGTTGGCTGATGTATGGATTTAAAAGTTCTAATCCATGAAACCTTTACCTTTTACCGCCTTATTTTGTAAACGGACTATAATAGATACTATATAATTGAACAAGTATACGGCTACTGATTTATACATTTTAACAATTTATTTCTGTAAGTAGAAAATATAAACGGGTAAAAATAAAAATTGTAATCTGATAATCTAACGTTTCCAAGCACAATGTTTTAACTAATACGCAAGTGCTTTAAAAACATTTAAGTTATTAAACGAGGATTAGCTTATTTTTCATCTCTCGTTAATTACCCTCTTTTCTTTATTTACACAAAAGACATACTGTTTTATACAGTTATAGAAACACCATAAATTTCAAAATTCATGGAGTTTGAGGACAATCGTCATCAATGTTATAGATTTGGTAGTCAAAAGTATTTACATTAATACATTAAAAAAATAATAATACGTTGATAAGAAAGACACATACAAGTTAATATATGTGAATTAAGTATCATAATGACAACTACATTAACTAATTTTGAAAGATTTACTGTACCAAACGTTTAAATTAACTCTAAGTAATGTAATAATAGCATAATTCTTACATGTTATTGTATGATATATCATAAATTAACCAGGTGTTGGCACGTCCCGGCAAATAATGGTATCTTAAGAATCATATTCAATTTATAACTACACTATATATTTGTAAAAAATTTCAAATATAATCAATTTAAATTTACCAGTCAGTTTAAAAACTCCCATGACAGATATTTGTTTGTTATTTTACTGTTATTCCCAACGCCCACGTCGTACAAACAAAGCCCCAATGTTACCTGTGAGAGCAGGTAAACAATATAAACTCGAGCTAACTGGATGCTACTCCCACCAAACACTGGCTTTCATACTGTTATTACTACAATACAATTATCTCATTATTTTGAATAAATTGTGTATTAAAATTATATTTAAAATGAAATATAATTTTATTTAGAATTTCGAGCGTAGTTAAAAGAGTTAAATACTCACGAGTAGACTTGGTCGTAAATTATTTTTAGTAAAATAAAAAATATGTTTGTATTGGAACATTATGATGATTTATGTACTGTCATATTATAATACTACATATTTCTTCATTTTTTGGCAATCTAGATTTTTGTTTCCTGTGGTATGACAACTTTATACTTTGATAGAATTTAAATGGAAATTAAAACGTTATATTCTGACTAGATAATGCTCAAGTAAATTTAGAGAATTTCATTGCGGAATTGTTAGACCACTGGTTTAATGTGTTCAACAAAATCTGTCTATTAAATATGTAAAAAACATTCTGCTAAAATGGTTTAATTAGTTTAATATTTATCTAAGAAGTGTTTAAGAACTTGCACCCAACACGACTGCATTATACCATACCTGCCCAGCAAGCAACATTTAACCTACACAAAGTACACTACCCAACTAACATTGCCGTCGGCGTCCTGTCGCTGCTACCGCCTGAAGAGTTGATTCTCAGTGTTCTGATTTTTTTCTACGCCAGTGGCATTTTACACGTAACTACGTACTCATTGGCTAATGTACAAAAATCAATAAGCATTTGAAAGAAATATATAATAAAATTAAAATTTAATAATTGGATTTTGTCAAAAATGACCTTATCTAAAATCAAATAAAATACACATATTAAATCAATCGCAATATTTTATTTTGCAAAGATAACTTATACGAAACGTAATTAACTAATAAATCTGAGCTCAAATCCTGAACTGATACCTGATACTGATACTTGATAGCTTAATGAAGATTTTCTAAGGAGATGTATTAATTAAACCCAGCTTTAATTAATACTACAGGAATAATATACCCTCTTTACTGACAGGACAGTATTATGATTAAACAAAGCCCTCTATCACTAAGCTACGTTAATTTATCCTATAAATAAAGATGCATATTAGATCCTCCCTCATTATTGTCTTTGTTCATGTTTCACTATAAAGACACCCATAGTAAAGTAGACTTTTAATTACAATGTAAATTTTGAAACTGGTTTAAAATTTTAGAACGTAGGAATTTATATCTACACGTATACTGTTAACTCACGAGATGGTTAACACATAAAAAATATGGTTAGTAGTGATCGATTTCGATTGGGCACTCCAATCATCATCAGACCCAAGAGACTAATGATTTATCTAGCGTAATACAGTATATTCGTGGTTAAGTCATAAATAAAAATGTTTTCTAGAAAAAAAATAATTAGAATGTAAACGAGACAGCTTATACATTATACTAAATAAAAACCCCACTTATGTTGACATAAATAGATATTCAACTGATTCTACCTGTTAAACCCAAATTTACATCGAAGCAATGATTTTTGTGGCATATTAGGATTTCTCAACATTTCTGTACAAGTAGTGACGGGAGTTGAAGTGTAATTTTGCGGACTGAAACGCTCCATTTCTCGATCTTCACAATGGAGTTTTGTGCTGTGACATGTATTATTGTGCTCTCTGTAACTCCCAGACAAGTTGGGCACTACTTAGGTTAACAACAACCTGTATAGGCAACAATACAGTAACGAATAGTAACTGGTATTTTTTTCTAGGGTATGGGTCACTCCAAATGGAAGGCGATATCAGCAATCGAGGCAGAAGAAAAAAACCTGCAACCCCTATTACGACGAAACATTTATTTTTCAGGTAAATATATATTAATAATTTGATTACAAGCTTGTTTCCGTACAAAAATAGCTTAGTACTGAGGTTACATTTTTTATAAATAATTTAGTAGGCCACTTAAATTATTAGGCACATTATAATAAATTTGCTCACAGATTGGGGACCGTAAAATTGTATATAATTTCATATACAACACTTGTATATCATATTTGTTTGCAAACGGATAAAATATTGTTTCTGAAAAATTTTCAGTTTATAACTTTATTAATGACGGTTAGGTTTGGTGGTTCCTTAAATTAACAAAATGGTGGCCATTTAAAATATTTAAACTTAAATTACAAAAATATGGCTGATTAAAAAATAAAAATTCAGGAACACCTTTATTTAGAATTTTTAATCCCCTATCAATCGATGCCAGTTCAAAAAATCTAATAAAAATAGCTGAAATATCACTTTTTTAGTTGTAAAATGGGGTAGAATAATACTAAGCTATTCTAAATTAAGGTTTGCTTCATTTACAACTAAAAACTTAGATAGTTCAGCTATTTTACATTCAATCTTTTTAAATTTGGTATCGTTTGATAGGGAATTAGAAATGCTAAATAAAAGTCTACTTGACATTATTTTATAAATTCAGCCATATTCTAGTAATTTAAATTTAAAAGTTTTAAATGGCCACCATTTTGTTAACTTAAAAGAAAATAACATAATTATGTGTTTTTAAATTGCCTCTTGGCACAATAAATATATGTGCTAGTTTACTTTAAGTTTGGTTTCCGTAGCTAGAATAGTTCTTGAGATATAAATTGTTTTTAAACAAGTACAAAATGGCAGCTATCGGCTAAACAAATTTTTGTTCGGCCTATGGTCATATGATTTGTTTGTTTGTTTAGACTCATTAGTACTATTAGCCCCTAAAGTTTGTGACACCCCTTTATGAACACCCTGAATACGTTTCTCGAAAATGTTTGCTACTTTTTACTGAAGATAGATAAAAATGTTGAGATGGACTTAAATTTCCTATAGCTACGTGTTTTTATTGCAAGACTGGAGGGTTTTCCTTAGCTCTTGAATCGTAGTGAGTTTAAACACTTAACTATAAGACATCTCCATCTATTTTAAACCGTAATTTTAACCTGTATTTATAAGCGTCGTTTTCCTACCGATGTCAAGCTTTATTAATTGGTTATTGGCTTATAACAAAGTGTGTGTTGGTTTTTGACCCAGTTTTACCTACTCAAATTTGACTGTTTCTGCAGGTGGCGCCGAGAGAGTTACCGGATCACTCTCTACGTATGAGTGTGACAGACACTGGCCGGACTCGTAGACGAGGAGTCATCGGTCACATCTCATTCCCTCTGAGAGATCTGGCTATAGAGTCATCAGCCACTGAACTGACCGTGCACAAGGTGGACCTGGTCAAGGTGAGATACAGCACAAGCTTTCATCTTATATAGCTCTCTACTAGATCACTCTCTACGTATGAGTGTGACAGACACTGGCCGGACTCGTAGACGAGGAGTCATCGGTCACATCTCATTCCCTCTGAGAGATCCGGCTATAGAGTCGTCAGCCACTGAACTGACCGTGCACAAGGTGGACCTGGTCAAGGTGAGATACAGCACAAGCTTTCATCTTACATAGCTCTCTACTAGATCACTCTCTACGTATGAGTGTGACAGACACTGGCCGGACTCGTAGACGAGGAGTCATCGGTCACATCTCATTCCCTCTGAGAGATCTGGCTATAGAGTCGTCAGCCACTGAACTGACCGTGCACAAGGTGGACCTGGTCAAGGTGAGATACAGCACAAGCTTTCATCTTACATAGCTCTCTACCAGATCACTCTCTACGTATGAGTGTGACAGACACTGGCCGGACTCATAGACGAGGAGTCATCGGTCACATCTCATTCCCTCTGAGAGATCTGACTATAGAGTCGTCAGCCACTGAACTGACCGTGCACAAGGTGGACCTGGTCAAGGTGAGATACAGCACAAGCTTTCATCTTACATAGCTCTCTACCAGATCACTCTCTACGTATGAGTGTGACAGACACTGGCCGGACTCGTAGACGAGGAGTCATCGGTCACATCTCATTCCCTCTGAGAGATCTGACTATTGAGTCGTCAGCCACTGAACTGACCGTGCACAAGGTGGACCTGGTCAAGGTGAGATACAGCACAAGCTTTCATCTTACATAGCTCTCTACCAGATCACTCTCTACGTATGAGTGTGACAGACACTGGCCGGACTCGTAGACGAGGAGTCATCGGTCACATCTCATTCCCTCTGAGAGATCTGGCTATAGAGTCATCAGCCACTGAACTGACCGTGCACAAGGTGGACCTGGTCAAGGTGAGATACAGCACAAGCTTTCATCTTACATAGCTCTCTACCAGATCACTCTCTACGTATGAGTGTGACAGACACTGGCCGGACTCGTAGACGAGGAGTCATCGGTCACATCTCATTCCCTCTGAGAGATCTGGCTATAGAGTCATCAGCCACTGAACTGACCGTGCACAAGGTGGACCTGGTCAAGGTGAGATACAGCACAAGCTTTCATCTTATATAGCTCTCTACTAGATCACTCTCTACGTATGAGTGTGACAGACACTGGCCGGACTCGTAGACGAGGAGTCATCGGTCACATCTCATTCCCTCTGAGAGATCTGACTATTGAGTCGTCAGCCACTGAACTGACCGTGCACAAGGTGGACCTGGTCAAGGTGAGATACAGCACAAGCTTTCATCTTACATAGCTCTCTACCAGATCACTCTCTACGTATGAGTGTGACAGACACTGGCCGGACTCGTAGACGAGGAGTCATCGGTCACATCTCATTCCCTCTGAGAGATCTGACTATAGAGTCGTCAGCCACTGAACTGACCGTGCACAAGGTGGACCTGGTCAAGGTGAGGTACAGCACAAGCTTTCATCTTATATAGCTCTCTACCAGATCACTCTCTACGTATGAGTGTGACAGACACTGGCCGGACTCGTAGACGAGGAGTCATCGGTCACATCTCATTCCCTCTGAGAGATCCGGCTATAGAGTCGTCAGCCACTGAACTGACCGTGCACAAGGTGGACCTGGTCAAGGTGAGGTACAGCACAAGCTTTCATCTTATATAGCTCTCTACTAGATCACTCTCTACGTATGAGTGTGACAGACACTGGCCGGACTCGTAGACGAGGAGTCATCGGTCACATCTCATTCCCTCTGAGAGATCTGACTATTGAGTCGTCAGCCACTGAACTGACCGTGCACAAGGTGGACCTGGTCAAGGTGAGATACAGCACAAGCTTTCATCTTACATAGCTCTCTACCAGATCACTCTCTACGTATGAGTGTGACAGACACTGGCCGGACTCGTAGACGAGGAGTCATCGGTCACATCTCATTCCCTCTGAGAGATCTGACTATAGAGTCGTCAGCCACTGAACTGACCGTGCACAAGGTGGACCTGGTCAAGGTGAGGTACAGCACAAGCTTTCATCTTATATAGCTCTCTACCAGATCACTCTCTACGTATGAGTGTGACAGACACTGGCCGGACTCGTAGACGAGGAGTCATCGGTCACATCTCATTCCCTCTGAGAGATCCGGCTATAGAGTCGTCAGCCACTGAACTGACCGTGCACAAGGTGGACCTGGTCAAGGTGAGGTACAGCACAAGCTTTCATCTTATATAGCTCTCTACTAGATCACTCTCTACGTATGAGTGTGACAGACACTGGCCGGACTCGTAGACGAGGAGTCATCGGTCACATCTCATTCCCTCTGAGAGATCTGACTATTGAGTCGTCAGCCACTGAACTGACCGTGCACAAGGTGGACCTGGTCAAGGTGAGATACAGCACAAGCTTTCATCTTATATAGCTCTCTACTAGATCACTCTCTACGTATGAGTGTGACAGACACTGGCCGGACTCGTAGACGAGGAGTCATCGGTCACATCTCATTCCCTCTGAGAGATCCGGCTATAGAGTCGTCAGCCACTGAACTGACCGTGCACAAGGTGGACCTGGTCAAGGTGAGGTACAGCACAAGCTTATCTCACAGTTTACAGCACAAGCGTATCTCACAGCTTACAGCACAAGCGTATCTCACAGCTTACAGCACAAGCTTATCTCACAGTTTACAGCACAAGCTTATCTCACAGCTTACAGCACAAGCTTATCTCACAGTTTACAGCACAAGCGTATCTCACAGCTTACAGCACAAGCGTATCTCACAGCTTACAGCACAAGCTTATCTCACAGTTTACAGCACAAGCTTATCTCACAGTTTACAGCACAAGCTTTCATTTTACATAGCTCTTCTGTGCAGTTGTAAAGGCTTGTGCGTCTTCAGAAGGGCGCGTTTGTGTTACAATGTACACTCTGTTTGAGCTGGATACACGGAAAAAATTAAGTCGTAAATAGTTGCTGAAAATTGCCGAGGGCTTATAATTTGACTCTTTTTCTCTTTACTCTTTGGAAATGAAATGGTGACCCGAGTTAACGTAGAATGAATGCAAATTAAGAATTTATCCAAACTAGAGGAGTAGTGTGAAAGTTCTAAAATAGTTTTCGTTTGCTTGTATCGTGGCATAGCCTCCTTTAATACAAGGCCGTGGCATTCGTGTGTGGCAACGTCGCACCGGCCGACCTATAATAGGCTGGAATATCTGTTGCAATGATTGTCATGGGAAGAACAGTAATAAAAAACGTAAACGTAAAAGAATACAAAAATTGCCCAGTCTCTCCATTATGAATTAAAGTATCAGCTGTTTCGGAAGGCCGGGTCTGCGGTGTTGCCACTTTTTGTCTCAACACGGCCTTGTATTAGAGGGGGTTATAAGGATAAATTATGATGGTTATTACGAAATATTATGAGTAGGAAACTGATCATATATTGCTAATGAAATAACACTTTATTTGTTAGGTTTGGATAAAATCTAATCCTTTTTCAGAGAAAACAGTTTTAATATACTGTATAAAGCAAATAAATACACTCTGAAATAATGTCTGTAAAAAGTAAAGCTCGTGTGCTATAACCAAACACATTCTTGACAAATTTTGAAAATTCACTCTAATGTGAATTTTAAAAATAGCTACAGATTGAAAATCAGGTAGTTTGAGAAAAATAGCATACCCTCCATTACATACAAACTCAGCTTAGTGCAGTAACAAAATATCTATAATAATCTAATGTAAATCTTTAAAAAAATGCTATATGTTTTTATATAACGGGTACCTAATGAAAATCAATGTTTTTATACTATCAATTTTATACTATTTTACCCATTAATAGATTGGCAACTACTCTATAAATAAGCTAAAACCTGAAACAATCTAAGATTACCTAAGAGCACGCAGTTCCAATCAAGTTTCAATTTATTTTACAGGACACAGTAGACTCAATCTCAGACCTGGGGGAAATGTTGGTATCACTGCTTTACAACGAGAACAGTCATAGACTCACAGTTTCTGTCTTGGAAGCTAAAAATCTCAAGGTAACGGTTGTTATATTTAGTTAGTAATATTACATCCTAAAAGTAATCTCTTAGTGATTATTCACCTCTAAATTTAATATATAAGGCCCATTTGAATTTAATGACGTTTTATATTACGAGTAAATGTTTTTGAATGCTGTTTACAATAACTTGTTTGTAAAGTTAGCTAAATAGTACAAAATTTCCTCGTTGGGAAAAATCCTGTACTTCCAAAGATAGTTAACAAAAAACACCTTTGCAAAAGGGACTAGTTTCCAGCAGGCACACGCAATTTCACGAAGTTCTCCATTATTTGAAATCTTTACGATAAACATATTTTTTTAACTTTTCACATGTTAATTATGTTTCCAATTGAAATCCTAACCATTTTAATATTTGACTGTACAGTTTCCAGACGAAAAGCAGGACAGTTATGTGCGTCTGACGCTGAACCAACATTACCGGACTGTCAAAGTGAAGCGCACCACCACCGCTAGGGGCGCTGACTGTCCCAAGTATTCTCAGGGGTTCAACTTCAGCGTCCCCTCATCCAACATGGACGTGACCAGTGTGATACTACAAGTCTACCAGGCAGGTGCCAGCTACGGCAAAGGTAAGGCTATAGGAGGGATGAGCAGTAAATGAACATCGGTATCTACCATCGACATATCAATAACATCCTTGCAAATATTTTTCGTTTTGAGTATTTGTCCGCTTTTTGCCTTATATAATTAATCTAGCTGCTTGCTACATGGCATGTTTTGCAAAATACATCAAAGCTAGATGATGCCATGGATAACGTAAAAGCTGGATGGCGTAGTAATTGCATTGCATGCATATACATGTATATGCATGCAATGTAAACCCCTCAACAATATTTAATGGCAAAAAACCGCAACCTTTTCAAAACAAAAGAACAATCCAGGATTCTGGCCCGTTACAACTTACTTCCTAACAACATGCTGAGCTTACACCTTCAAGAATTTCACAAAAAAGTTATTTATATCAATAACTTTAATTTTTACTTTGTTAAATGTATTTAATTTTAACAATCTTTTAATTTCAGATAAAGAGATCGGAAAGCTAGTGCTTGGATCGTACATGTTCGCACGTGGCAATACACTGACCCACTGGAACACTGCGTTCGCCAGTCCCATGGAGCAAATACAGCAATGGCACCCTCTATGTGCTTAGAACACAGAGAAGTAAGACACACTTCTCTGTGCAGAGAGTAAACACAGGTTCAACAATAAGTTTAAGAGGTAGTTGAGACTCAGGATTTATATTTTTCAAATTGATAGCTGATAAAATAAATTCGTTTGGTGCATAACCCGCCACTTTTTTGTTAGCAAATCTACGGAAAGTAAAAATAAGTCTAATAACACTTGAAATGTATATTTACTTTTAACTCACAAGACGGTAAATACATATAGAATATGGTAAGTGGTGATCGATTTCGATTGGACACTACAATCATAATCAGATCGAATAAGTGAATTACCTATCTAAATATGACAAAACATATTTTATATTTATTTACCGTCTTGTGAGTTAACAGTATAAGTGTATATACTGTATGTATTTCAAGTGATATTAGACGTATTTTAATTTACTTTACACGTACAATGCTGAACAAGTTGTTTATGGAATTTGTTACAATCATTGCCATCTATCGATATGACAGAAAATTAATGTATGTTGAATTTTGGACATCGCTGAAGTAAGAGCAATGTACTAATTCCTCCAAGTAATAAATACATGTTACTCAACTTAAACAATTTAAAGACATTCAGATAAAGCTGTAAAAGTTAGGATTGTAAAGATAATTAAAAAAATAGTTAACACATATTTACCACCTCTATCAAGCAAAGCTTGAAAGTGTATGACGAACGGTCAAAGTTAAATTAACAAATTAAACTACATGCATCTTTAAACACAATTGAAAGTGTGTTATTGTTTAACACAATCGTCCCTAAGTAAAAGTATAACATACTAATAATCTAAAAAATACAACATCGGAGGCAAATCTGTTTCGTAAAAGGTTTGTTTGGTTTTTTAACACCAATTCACTTACAATGTCAAATGTTGTAGTCCGTAAGTGAAAATTCTATAAATATTGTAATTTGGTGGTTATCTTTTTTTAAATGTATTAAATGGAAAGGAAGTTTTAAAAACATTTTTTTCGTCCTTTTTACTAGCCTGAACAAAAACAGGCAAACAGGCAAAAACAGTGTTTTTTTACTTTTTAATGACTGGTAGAAATTTGCTAAAAACTAAACCCATATTTAAGATTTTTTTTTAGTGGCCGAACCCCTCAATCGGTATTTTTAATACGATGAGATTGGCCATTGCACTACTAAAAATATATTATCAAAGTGTACAGCTTTGAAGTGATTTTTCATTTTGGACGTTCAGGCCTACATTAAAGCTTAAAAGATCGTCTTCCGATATTACTTAAACAAATAATACTATAAACATCCAATTTTTCGCCAAAATGCGTATACCTATACAGAAATCATCTAAAAAAATGGACTGAGGTAAAAACACATTTTACTATCTAAAAATACAATATAGGTTAAACAAAATTTTACTTACAACAAAATCAAATTAATTATGATACCTACTAAAAATGTTACTACAAAAAAATATACAAACTATGAATCGATTCTATTGGTAAATGTTTTTTTTAAGAACTCTTATACAAAAAAATTGCTAGGTATTACCTTGACACAACTAAAGATTTATCAATCACAAAAAAACAAATAAAATGCTGATTTGAAATATAAGTTTACTTTGTTAAATATCCGTTGAATTAAATCAGTTATGTATACATTTTAGAGTTTGATAATGGAAGGAAGTTAGTGATATTGAGCTGGGCAAACCGAAGTTGAGTGATTAATTAATTACAATATCAACAGCTTGAACGGACTCTGATCTTGGGAGTTCAAAAGAGATTGTCTTTCAGATTTACTAATAAGAAATTACAGAATATATTTAATAATCTAAAATCTGCTGTAATTAGTCTTTGAATATTGATTGCAATTATATGTTGATATATTTTTACATGTATTATCAATATTTATTTATGCTTTCAAATCCTTTGACCGCCTTTTACTATCTGTGTTTACTATAGTGCCAAACACACGTAACCTTGTATGTTATAGATTTAGTATGTAACGCATAGAGCACCACAACTATTTATATACATTATATAATGTTTAGTACATTATTGAGAATGGAAATATAGCAATATACGTAAATAGTACCATTGTAAAATGTTACAAATAACTGTTAAAGTTAATTAAATAAATTTTCCAGTTTCAAACCCTTGTTATTATTAGATATTTAACGAGTTAGTGAAGAAACAGTTCGAAATTCAAAATGTAAACACTAAAATAATGTAATAGTGTCAAAATGTTATGTAAGATTTAAAACCAGAATATGTTAAGGCTATTAGGGTGATAAACTTATCAACGTACTGTATAATATTAGTCCTGTTTCATTTGTAGATAAAAGCAGTTTAATACTAAAACCCCTTGAACTGTTTCCGAATTATAGATGAATAATTATCTTGCCAACTACTAATCAATATTAACCTTCTAGGTTAATATTGATGCTCATATTTGCACTTTTTAGGGCTAAATTATGTTTTAAACGATGAGCTATTTATTGTTTTATAGTGACTTTTCAGTTCAGTATAAATGACCACATCAGTGGAATCAATATCCAATCTTAATGTGTACCTTAGCAGAGTACAGCTTAGAATAGATTAAGTATGAACAGTTTTTTTCCAAAGATGCATTTCTTTGTAGAAAATATTTTAAGTGATATAAAGTTTATTTTTAAAGTTAGATTTTAGTACCACCGAGAAACTATATTTTTCATAAACTCGAAAGTGATAATTGATATTTATAAATCTATTTTTACAATTAACTACATAAATGTTAGTTTAAATATGTTATGGAGCTATGCTGAATTAGGGAGATATTTATAATATTTCTGTTTTGTTGTAATAAATTCACCTGTTTTTATTTAAAATAATAACAGAAAAATCAACTCTGTAATGAAAAAGAAGATAAAAGACAATATAATTGTTGTATTTATCACATTATTATATCAATAATAGCCAATAAACTTTTATGAAACGTTTCTGGCCTTACTGATTTTTTAAATAACTCTTAACATACCCAAAAATAAATTAAACGGCGTAAGATACAATTTTGCAACTTTAACATATGATGACTTTTCTAGCTTTTTGTAAAAAATCTAAATTTTGCCCCCCCCCTCTATCTAAGGGGGTATATAAATATTTTCAAATATAAAGACCCATGTTGTGACCAACGATCACATAAGACCAATGGTGATCAGTCTTATGTGATCGTTGGTTGTGACCCATTCCTCCGACTTCTAGCGGGCCACCCCCGCCGTACCGTATAACTGAAATATGTGTTATAATCATAAACGTCTGGTTAGTAATATGCACGCCAAATTAAAGGTCCTGATCAGTAAAATACAATGCCACAAATTTGAGCTCAAAAGAACAACTGAGTAAAAAATGAGAGCCGTTCAAAGATTCAAAATGGCAGATTCAAGATATATTTGAACGGATGCCATTTTCGATTCGGTTACCCGTTTGATATCACATTTGGGCATAGTATTCTACTAATTAATACCTTTAAAATGAGGGGTCACAACACGGGTCTTTACTTTTGAAAATTTTAGCTGACCCCTATCTACCTTTAAAGGGGGAGGAGGACAACATTTTTAATTTCTTGAAAAAAGCTAGAAAAGTCTTCATGTAATGATATGTTGAAGTTGCGAAATTATATCTTACGCCGTTTAATTTTTTTTTGGGTGTGTTAAGACTTTTTTAACACCCTGTATGTACACATTGTTGACGATTGAATTAGTAGTTACCACATTGAACACCTAGAAAACGTCCCATTTGTAGTAGATATTAAAATGGACTAAGATTAATATAGTTAAAATTCCAAATTTTTATAAATATTCATATTTTATTTAACCAACTGACCACTGAATTGTTATTCAATCACTTAAATTTATTATAAAGCTTTGTTTATGTTTTTATACGTTTTATTTTATATAACAACTTAAAATATGTCGCAAGTTACTTTATGAACGTTGAACTTTAAAACGCCAAAAACCGTTTTGTGATTTTAACTTTACTTACCAAAGTTAGGGGGTTAAACTAAAAATATAAATTTGAGGTACAGTAATGTTTGTTTGTAAAATCACAGTGTCATGAATTCAATTAATTAATCATGTAAGGTCAACTACCTTAGCAATCCTATTATGAATCATAAATTTGGTATATATATTTCTTACACTTTGTGTTCCAAGAACACAACGTTATAACTATGACTAATAAGCGAAGAAAGGATGTTGAAGGGAAGCTGAAAGAAAGAACTAAACGCAAGCTAAATAATAGCTCTGAGACAATGTATCCTTCTCCTAAAAAGCCATTGTGTTTAAAGAGCAGGGTCTCTTTAGCAGACAGCAGAACTGGGAAATATTTAGAACTTTCTGCAATTCCTCGCGTTTATTAGTCCACATCTTTTAGCAAAATTTATTAGTAGATTGTTGTTATTATGAAATAGGCGTGTTTGGATGATTTTTATACACCGTTAAAGTAAATACAATTTCTTGATTAGTGGATGAGTGACTTTTATCCACTCATGCTATCCTTCACAAAAACCATCAGCTGTGTACTTAAATTAACTGTTCACAGATTAAAATTATATCTCCATACCAATCCAATAAGAATATGTTTTAGTAACGTTGCTTGAAAATTATTTATCGTTGTCTATAACATTAAATACTATTGTATACTATGTTAATTAAGGAGGAGAATTAACGCTAATATGTCAAAATATAATAAAAAGTAACATTAAATGAAGGATGTAAGCTAAATCTGGATAAAGTTCACGAAGACTGTAAACGCAATCTCAAGTTTCAAAGAGGTTATTTGATATTCAGATTCTTTCATTTGTGGAGAAGAATAAAGTCGACAGTGGATCCATTTAAACGTCTTATCCAGTTTAACATCAATACCGATTTATAAATAGCTTTTACAACACCGGATTTAGAATTCAACCTCAGTTCAAAATAAAAGCACATAAATCGTTACATTTCAAACAATGTATACCAATAATATCTAAGTTACAATCAACGTATTTAAAGGAACAAAAATAGAAAAAATATTGTTTAAATTTATAAGATAAGCTATTTCTATGCATAATCTATGCGTAATCTTTTTATCAATAGTTTTATTTATAGTCAATTACTCTGGAAATAAATCTACAAGCTGCAAGTTTTTAGATAAAATGTTTTGCTATCTAAATGTTGCGGGAAACTCTAATATAGCTATAAAACCCATGGAAACTGTGGTAATATTAAAACTACGGATCCTGATAACGTGTTACCGGGTGTGATTATTATTTATGAGTATCGATTGTCAAACCTTATTCATCCTAGTCGCAGCGGGACGTAATCTGAATATGACATATGATATATTCCAAATATAATACAGGTTTGTAATAAAGATGTAATATGAAACCTGTATACACTATTGAATGTTTTTATAAGCTTAAGAACTGGTTATAAGAGCAGTAGTATTGTAATTGTTGTTTTATACATATTTTAGTAATGGATAAATCAAATGTTCATCAACCGATAAATCACAAGTTTTAACTGGTCCAATTTGTAGATTAATAATTTTGAACGCGTACGAGGAAAATAAGTGGAACGATATTAATTACATTAGTTTAATAAATTTTAAGTAGGTATCATTTGCATGCCATACTGAGTAACTAGGATCATGGGTTTGTTTACTATTTCGTTCATGAATCCTAATATTTAATGTGAAAGTATGGATGTTTTTGTATAAGTTCAATCACGTGAAAACTAATGGACCGATTGAGCTGACATTTTTCAGAGAGGTAGGCTACTTGATAGTCTTGAGAACATAGTATTGCATATTCAAGTAGTATGCATATTAAAGTTGTGAAAATCCTATAGGGCTTTGCCCCACGGGGGTTCAAACTCGCCATGGTATTCTTATGAATATTCATATTTAAAAAGAATTAAAGAAATTTTTCGGCTGTTTCAGCTAAACGAGTTGGTTCTACGATATTTAATAGCATTAACATTTGCTAGGTTTGC